ATGTCAAATTTCCTCCCCTTACGCTAATTTGAGCTTGTGAGTACTTTATGTTGTAATTGAACGTGTGTTCTTATGTGTGACGTTCTAATAAAAATGTATGTGAAATGGGGTTTTGTATTATTGTATTGGAATAAAAGAAGTTGTTTATTATCTAATCTTTGGCATATCAAGCACTTGGAATATTTGCCTGCCACAGTATCTTTCTATGCTTGATTAACTTTTAACATGATGTTAAGCTTGGTATAGTTGCTTCTTTATGAAAATTTTTTACTTTTGCTCAGTATTTAAGTAAGATGTAATATGATTTCATTTCTTTTAGTGAATGCAGGCACATTTAGTGCGGGCAGCTGAAGTGAAAAGGGTCATTGAGTGGATAATGTGCAACTAAATCAGCTGTCATGTAGCAACGAAATGTCAATGAAAGAGAACCCTTTCCAAAGAATTAAGCGACAAGGATTGTATCTTTACATAGAATTTGGCATTGCAATTAAACAATGTGACTGAAGCAATTGTAAACACATGTCTCTATTTAACAATTAGCTGACTTATATAATTAAACTTTTTCAAGGTTCTTCACCTGCTATATTATATCTTTACATAGAATGATACTTTCGAACAAAATCCCTTACCTGCCCTTTACACAATATACAATTTAACTCATCACCAATGACAGTTAGCCAAGATCTCTCTCCTCCGTCTCACTATAAAATGGAGAAGCATTTCTTTTTCTTCTACTCAGCAATAGTTGTTGCAAATGGCTACCAAAACCCTGTTTATAGCACTCCTTGCACTAACGTGCTTCGTTGCACTTGCATCTGGTCACAGAGGCAGTGGTGCTCAGAAATCACCAGATAATTATAAACCAGATGGTGAAGATGTATCTTTAAAACCAAGCAAAGTAATCGAAACTGATGACAGAGGTAATGCTGCAATATCTAATGATCATAGAGTTGGTGCTGTTCCAAATCAATCCCATCATACACACAGTTCGCATCAAAATTTTCATCAGGCAGCTGATTCCAACACCAATCAAAAGGAAGGTACTGCTGCAATAATTTCTTTTATTTCTTCCTTTATCAATGGATATGAATATATATTAATTTGTTTATGCTTTTGTGCTGCTAGGCTAGCCAATTGATGAGTGTGTTGTTCACATCCTAGCAATTCCAATGATCATCTCGTCAAGGTTGTCAGGAATTTGAGTTAGCTGCTACAAGCAAACTTCAATAAGGGTTTTCATTTGTTTGTTCTATTATGTCAAATTTCCATTGAACGTGTGTTCTTGTGTGTGTTGTGTGAATTAGTTCAAGCTGAAATGTATTTGGAATGGGGTTTTGTGTTATTGTATTTGAACAAAAGAACGTAATTATTTTCTAATTTTTGGCGTATTATTTATAATATTTATAACCCTTTTTTTTGTTCTCAGCCAAACCTGGTAAATTCATTAGAAATATAGGAATGAAAACAAGAAAGTTTCCCCTTAAGATAGGGAAGAACAAAAGAACCAAAAAAACCTGTGGCAAAACTGGTGACATGTCTCAGAACAGCACTGATACAGAGCAACAGAAAAACAAAACAGCAGGAACAAAGGCAAAAGAAAGAAACAAAGCTGAGCAAAGAAAAATGGACATCCATAGCAATATTAAGGGCCAGTTTGAGAAAATAATCAAAGCCGCAACACCATGAGAATGCCAAACCAAAGCTGAAGCGGAGAAGAAAGAAACTTTGGCTAAATAATTGAGTCATTGAGTCACCACCAAGCAATGAACATGGATGATTTATCAACACCTACTTTGGCTAAATAATCAGCAAATGAATTTCCTTCCCACAAAATATAACTGAAAGATACAGTACCCAATCGATGACGCATAACTAGTCAATCTCATTGAAAATTTGCCAATGATTCCAAGGTTGATAAAGAGTCGCCATTCACTCAAGATAAGCTGGATTGATAACTGACAATCATGATAAGCTGAGGAAGAAAAGAGTCCTAGAGCATGCAGAATTACCATGAGCTTCGCAAAGTTCAAATCTTGAACACCAAGAGGGCCAAAGAAGATGCCAATAACAGTACCTTCAGGATTCCTTAGACTGCCCCTACAGCCTGCTAGTCCAGGCTTATCTCTAGCAGAGCCATCCACATTAAATTTAAGTTCCCCTGTTGCTGGTGGTTGCCATGAAATCTGAGGATGATGAACATGGGAAGAACTTCGATAAGAAGAGATAAAAGGGAGCCATCCACCCGCCATTTTCATCAATACAATCATTATCGTCACAAGCCTGAATCCATATAAAGGAACGAGATCTAATCAGGAAAAGGATCTCATGTTCATTCCATGTCTTGTTGGAGAAGACTGTCTCATTTCGGGCCGGCCAAAAAGGCCAGAAAGTAGCAGTGCACACCATTATCCACCTTGAATAAAAATTGAGATTGAATTAGGAATGGACCATTAAATACCCCACCATTGAAGGACTAGACTCCAAACTTTCCAACTAGAGCTGCACGTGATCAAGATATATGAGCAGTCTCGCTCTCAAAACCACACCAAATACAATGAAGTTGGCCATTACTCAAAGGCACACCACGGGAAGCAAGAAAATGCTTGGTAGGAATTGAACCAAGAATGGCCAGCCATAAGAAGCATTGAATTTTCGGAGGAATTGCTAACTTCCATAAAGAGTGAAACCAAACTCCTTGATCATGAGACTCCGAGTCAATTCAAACTCTTTGCTGCAGTCTTCCTCTCTGTCACCACTAACGCACTCCGTTCACTCATTGCAACACGTCCTCTCTCTTTACGAAAACAACCCTCTACAGTATGCAACATATGTATGGATTTTAATATTTACCAGGGATTCTGACCCTTCTTAAATCCTTTCACATAAGAAGAAATCAAAAGCAACCCACAAAAACAACAAGGTACTATCAAATTTTATAGAATATAAATTTGATTTAAAATTTAGATTATCATATCTTCCCACTTTAAGAAATTCAATCAAATTTGATCGTTGTGGTATCAAAACAAGTTCACTTTCAAGTTCCCAAGTGGTCTCTTCGATTGAATGATGTTGCTAAAATTTTTTACAAGCGAAATTCTTTTAGAGTTTCACTTTCAAGTTCACTTTTGACACCTCATGAGCAGGTGTCTTTCTTTAAGTTGTTTACCACAGTGTCTGAATAAGCACCCAAATCCTATTAAATGCCTTCAAAGCAGTTCGATTAGATTAAGACAGGAGAAACAACATTCTCCCTTGTGCTGAGAAATGTAGCAAACCAGAGACGTTTTTGTTGTTTTGGACTTGATTTTAAAACTTAAATGCTAAAGCTAAATTCTCGAAGATGTTTTCTAAATCCTTGTTTATAACAGTTTTTAGTTAATTAGAGTCAACTCCTTAAGTCATGTTAATTACAGCTTTTGTTCTGCTGTAATTATGCCTGCAGTGTTTTCTTCCAATCTTTCTTTCAGTCAATTGATGGGGGAAAATAGAGAAAGAAAAGCTATACTGACTAACCGATAAAATTTTGCAAGATGAATCAATCTGGTCTGCAGAAGTGCAAATACATTGGTGCATGTGTGTAGCTAGAAGCCTAGAACAAAACTATGCAATGAAAGTTTTATCCCGAATCAAAGACCAGAAAACATAAGGAAAAGAATTAGATGGGATAATTGCTTAATGCTATTCTGTCTAAACATTTGCAGGAGGAACCTCATTCCTCCAGAGAAGGTGAAGAAGATGACATGGAGGAGCTATAGATTCCACATGTCACCCACTGTTACCATTTAGTGAAAGCAAAAATGGGTCATGGAATGAATCAAGGGCCATGACCTCCAACTTTACGCAATTTTTGCTGGCCACTCAGGTCGTGATGTTGCAGAGTACTTGGTGACTCACCTCTTTGACAAGATATTGAGAGAGGTATGAACTTGGTTCTTTCTGTTTCGATTGAACAGATTTTCCTGTCTAGGAAAATTTTCATGTTCTCTTCCAAATTCTAACAGCCTGACTTCTGGAGAACCCCCAAACGAGCAATCAAAAGAGCTTACAAAGCAACAAATGATGAGATTTTGGAGGATGTTGCTTGTTCTCGAAGTGGCTCAACTGCTGTTACAGCAATACTAATTGATAGACAAAAGCGAATTGTGGCTAATGTTGATGATTCTCGAGCAATCTTATGCCGAGGTGGTGCAGTGAAACAAGTAACAACAGATCATGAGCCACATAAGGAGAAAGAATTAGTTGAAAGCGGAGATGGATTCATGTCCGAAATGCCATGTAATGTAGGTTTGATCTAATTTACTCTTCTTCTTGCTCCTTGCCCTCTCTTGTTGTAAGATAATACAGTACTAATCTACATATTGGAATAACACTGGATATGATCTATATTGGAGTAGGGAATGTCCTCGAGTGGATAGGCAGCTGGCGATGACAAGGGCCATTGGAGATGGTAAACTGAAGGAACATATCGCTTCAAAACCAGATGTAAGGGTTGAAATGATTGATCCAGATGCAGATGAATTCTTCATTCTAGCAAGTGATGGCCTTTGGGAGGTAAAATTGGAGCCTTACCTTGTGAGTAAATCTTTAAAACAAAACAATTCTGTCATGAAGATTTATCATCAATTTTGGCTAATGCATGCAGGCAATGTCAAATGAACAGGCTTTTGATCACATTAGAGAGTTTGATGATGCCCAAGAAGAGTCAGAGGAATTAATCAGAGAAGCATTAGCTAGGGGAAGTCAAGATGATATCTATTGTATAGTTGTAGCTTTTCATTAATTACTTATGTTTCATACGTTGGAGGTTTTGTGTGTGCGCACACACGATGTTTGGTTTATGCAAAGTAGTAGTGTTCACTATCTCTAACAGGAAGTGAAATGGTGAATCCTAAAATTGCATTTGAGATTTGGCTTTTGTACATTTCATTGCGTTGTTAGGGTGAATGGAGTGTTCTTAGCGAGCAGATCTAGAAGGAATAGATCAGAAGAACTTTAGTAAAGTTCATTTCCTATATATGAACAAGACAGCTATGATCATGTGTAATTGAGAAAGCAATAAAATTCTTCTGAACTGAAAGCTTCAACCATGTAGGATATACTTATTTCAATTACAATGATTCTTTACAATGTACAATGAATAGAAGATGGTGATATACAACAATGGTGGGTGTGGCAGTAAAGCTGGACTCAGAAAGACAGTTCAAAGAGAATAAATCAAACTAACACCATGAAACTAAAGCTATTAACAGTCTGGTCTTCATGAACTGGTTATGTCCCGGAAAACTTGCAGCCGATTTCTCCTTGATGAAACAGTGTTTGCTGATGCATTGTCCCCACCTTTTATATCAAATGATTCAAGTTGTTGAGTGATATTCCCAATATGATCCTTACAATCAGGGCGTGGATAAATTATGTTGGAATTCAGGTTTTCATCATTGAACACCTCTTCCCTGTTGAAGCCATCATAGCTGTTGAGTAATTCTTCTTTCTCTTCTTCTTCAACCATGTCTGCCCAGCTTTTCTTATTTGGTGCATTGGCAGGCTTTTCCAGTCCAATTTCTGATTCATCTTTAGATGAAAAAAATGGTTCTCCATTAAGACCATGCGCTGAATGTGGAGTCACACCAGTTATATTCTTCTCGAATGACAGCTTGCGAAATGGACAGCCAACAGATTCTTCTGCCCATCTTTCCATTCTTTGATCTCTATTATTTAGCCACAACAAAGAGTTTCTGGGCTGTGTGAATAGAACTCCAGATAAGCCCTCCTGAGCCTCCTCTTCCATTCGGCCAGTTGCAGAGTTCTCAGACTTCCCATTATTTGAAGTTTGTGGTTTTTCATTAAGATTCTGGATTGAATGCGATGGCTCACTTTCACTGGTTAGAGTTTGCTCAAAGGAGAGTTTTCGAATTGAATTTCGAACTGTATCTTCTCCCCATCTTCCTCCTCTCTTCTGATCTGCATTATTGAAGCCCTGTGAACATCGTCTTGGTTGGGTAAATAAAGCTTCTGAGTTCCTTTTACTAGCTGCTGAGGAAGCATATATTTTCTTTTGTGCAGAACCTACTTCTTCTCCTGTTGAATACCCCCAGTTTTCCTTCAGCTTGCTGGAATACACTGACCCTTCACACGGGCTTTCCCAATATGAACCTATTCTCCACTTCTCAGTGAACATGCTTTCTGGAGAAGACTGCAAATAACCTTTCTGTCCAATTGGTGTGCATTTTGAACTTCTGTCATCATATCCAGAGAAGTTATCATTCTTCTCAAGTGGATTTCTACAGTAAGATTCACCATTTTGCTCATCGATTAGCATCTTCCCTTCCCAATGTGCATATGGCAACCTTCTCCTGCCCATAAAACCTGAAATGGTGTCCTCATTTCTAGGAAGGATAATGCCAGCTTCTTTCAAACCTCTATCCCTGTATGGTGTCGAGGGTCTTTGAATTTCCCTTCCCTTATCTGGTTCCTTTGCCACCGGCTCTAACATTGATTGTGATTCTACTTGGATCAGCATATCCAGAGCACGTTCATAAGATTTAGAGTGGGATTCATCCATCTGTTCATTTCCTGATGAAGCTTTCACATCCTGAAGCAGTGATTTTGCTCCACTGATCCTGTTCATGTGCATCAAGCATATTGCCAGGTTGCATTGCTTATTCATATCTGGCTCCAGAGACAATGCTTTTCTGTAATGAATTAAATTCAATGTAAAATATATACACGCTCATTTCTCTCAAAAAAATGTGGTGCATGTATATAATTTTAGGGAAAATAAAAAGAGCATACCTGTAATGTTGCTCAGCAATTCCATAATTATGTTGCTGGAGATAGGCCCAGGCCAAATTCCCTAGTATCCTGAACCATTATAGGAGGGGATGAATTTGCAGAAAAAATAAGTAGAAAGAATAAGAATAATAAAGAGTATGAGTACAGCATCCACCTTGATTTCTCCTGTTCAATAGTAATCTGAATCTTCTTCCCTTGAGATCTCGCAATCTTTGTCCTCTTTCCGCCAAAAACTGTCCCTTCCTCAATGTTCCTCAGTTTGTTCTGAAGCATTTCAATCTCTTCTTCAACCCGTCCAGACCTCTGCAAAAACAAACAATTGCATAAAACAAATATGCCCTGAGTCTCCATAACACAAGAAGACTATAAACAGAAGGGCATATTATCATAAAGTACAACTGACGCCAGTATTTTGAGATAACAAATTCATGACATTTACATCAAAACAGAATGAATTGAAACAAAAGGACATGACCTTATAAGCTCCTAAGCTTCATCTCAACTCAATTTAATACTAATGAAACTAAGCTTGATAGAAACAGATACAGATTTGAAGATAAGATGATGCAAAATACAGATTGCCACTGTACCTTGTAGAGTTCAACAAGGACATTATCAAGAGACTCTTGAGAATCATGAGGACAAAGATGACGGAAAGATTTGATTGCCTCAATAGCCTCATCAGATCTATTAAGTTGTTTCATCACAACAGCCATGTCTTTCAATGCACTGTCAACCCGATCTCCAGCATTAATAGCTGCCCAGAACAGGGAAATGGCTTTACTGGGATCCTTGTCTATCAACTGCGGGTCCAGAATAAAATATTAGTATACACAAACAAAACACTAAATGGAAACATAGCAAATCCAAATGTGAGCTAAGCTCACCATTGAACTCTAAACCCTAAACTAGTAAAAGTGTAACCTTTGATAGTAAAGGTACCTTCAGCAATCATTCTATTATAAAGCATTCACCCAAAATCATTCTACTAAATGGGAAAACATAATTAATGCTATAAAAGCTGAAGAAAATACAATCACATGAATCCCCAAAGGTTCTGTTTTGTTGCAAAATAATATAAGTTGACAAGCAATTCATATTCCTGGTAACCCAATATAAGGCTATCGGGGAAAAGAAACAAGAAAAAACGAATCTTTGATACCAATTACCAAGAAATAATAAGGATGCATGTATCAAGAACCCCCAAAAGAAAAATCAAGAAATTAACCAAGGAAGCAGTAAAAAAGGAAAATGTTTCTAAAGAAAGAAGACCAAAGGAATGGGAAAACCAAAAAGGAAACAAACCCGGAAACAAGCCATCAATAGTTAGTTTGACACATAAAGCGGATGAGCTGACATTGAGAAATTAATGTTATAATTAACCTGGACGTGCTTTGCCCTGCCATAAGGAGAATCAGAAGCTGGAACTTTGTGAATGACATGAAAAGAATCGGCCTGATCGGCAGGCGAGATTCTTTTCCTCTCTGACATTGGCAAAACAGAGGACTGTGTTTTCTTCCATGCAGGCGGCTGCGGGGTGAAGAAACCCCTCGATCTCGATGGAAGGTTCTTTTCGTTCGACCACATTACCTCCGATCTCCTTTTCTCAGAAAAATCCCGATACCGTTTTCCAGAATTTCCAAGAAAGTGCTTCTACCAATGGAAAAAAGAAGCACTTTCTAGCGATATACACTACTCCACTCTTGATCTCTTACTCTAAACAAAGCAAATCAGTCTTTAGACCAGACCACTTTAGCTCTTGCAAATTTCTCTTGATACTTGATAAAGAAGGAAGATTCCCGGAAACAGTAAGAAACTGAGAGATAAAAAAGAGCGATGACGATGGTGATGATGATGATGTTTCCTTTTGAGCAAATGTGAAGGAGAAAGTAGCCAAGGGAAACTGGAAAAAAATGGAAGAAAAGAAAAGAACTAGCCGTTTTATAATTACTAGCCGTTGGGGTTTTGGAGCCCTCACGCGCTTCTTAGCGAGTGCCATGTTAAATATTCATTCCCCTTTCTAATATATATACTTAATTTATTTTTAACAAAATGAAAGATCTAAATTATAAGATTAATTTGCACACCAGTAATATTATGTGTGATGAATTAATTACTATTAATTCATAAATTAATTAAAATTTTTAAATATTAATCAAACTACTATTTATAAAATTAAAAATAAATTAACTTCTGAATGGATATAAAAAATATATATATAAATTATTCTTTTATATTCTCCCCAAAAAACTTAATATCTTCAATCCAAATCTTTTTTTTTATTTAGTTCTTCAATGAAACTTTATTTATATCTTTTGAGGGGTTTTAGAATACATTTTTTTAATTTAATAACAAAATATTTTAGATTTACTATTAATTATTTTATTTTATATTAATATAACACATAATAAAAAGAGTAAAATATTTAAATTCATCCAAATATATTTATTATTAAAACTTTTTTTAAAAAAAATAACAAATCAATATTATCGTCTATTAAAAATCTAATCGTTTGATAGATTTTCTTCTAAATATGACATTTTAATATCATGTTAACATACACTTCTCAAAACTATACCTTAATTTTATTAAGTGATATTATAAGATTTCATTTTCATGTGTGTTATTTATTATTTTAATTTTTTTATAAATATATATATACTTATTTTACTATAATTATTCTCCTAAAATAGTTTTCTTCTTTTATAATAATTAAAAAATTTTAATTATATTTCTCATATTTTTTACAACAAATCAATTATTTGATTAATTTACGAAATATTTTTTTTAACAACTCTCTTATTATTATTATTATTATTGACCCCGATATAAAATTTTTTGCTTTCCTTACTATATAGAATGAATTAAATGAATAAAAGGCAAAGAAATTTAAAATATAGAAATACTTTTTTAGATAAATATAATTTTTATGAATAATAGACATATAATTAACATGTAAAACAATATAAAAAAAACTTGTAAACTTGAATGTTAATATAAAAAAAATTAAAAAATAACGAGAAATATATTCGAAATAAAAAAAAGTAAAAATATTATGTATTAGAAAAAGAAAAAAATAAAATTATTCTTAACTTAACTTTCACGTATGTTTCCAATAAGATCCTGCGTTCCCTCCTACCTAATCCCTCCCTTCGCCCCCTCCGCTAAGTAACCCACACGGAACGCTTAAACTCTCTCCTTCCACTGATAGAAAGTAAGCCCAAAAGCCAAACAGAGATTCTCTTTATACGTATACATACTCCATCTATACGTATACGTAACGTATACGCCATTTCGGCTTCGGAGGTACCATATCTACTCCCTTTGATCTTCACTTCAATAATTTTCTGGGTGTCTCGTTTGCTTTTATATTTCCTTCAAATTTCGCTTTTACTGTTTCTGTAATTTGTAAAAGTAGTTTGTTAAAGCACTAACTCATGCATTGCTTTTTCTACGATTTTATCCCTTTGCTTTTTCTACAAGTTGAGGGGCATAAAAGAATATGCAAATTTTTAGCCTTATCTTTTCTGCTGAAATTTTCTCTCTTTGTATTAAAAGTTTCAAGTTAAGAGGCTTTAAATTTTCATTTTTGTTAGTACATAGGAATGTAAGTTTTGATTTTTTTTGCTTTTTTTACTAATTATGTTATATTTATTTATATATATTGTGGCCTCGAGTTGTCATATAGACGTTTTATTGGCTGAATAAAAATTGGGTTCTTGTTTTTTTTTATTTTTTATGTTAGTTGTTTTATGTACTTTTCATTGTCATGTCATATTTGCTTTTGGGTATGCTTTTTTTTTTTTTTTGGTACAGAATCGAGTATGGTTCATTAACTTTTGCCTTAAAGGTTGAGTGTTTTTTTTTTTTAAAAAAGAAATACTTGAAGTGAAAGTTTTCTAAGGTTTCTATATGAATCTTTTGAATGCAAGCAAGATATGAAAACATTAATTTGCTGTTACTTTGTTGTTTCTGTGGTGTGTCAATTTCCTGTATCCCTTGTTTAGTATTTTGCTTGGTCGGATAGTGCCATCAGTGAATTGAACTCTGATTGAGTTCTTCTTGGCATTTTATTTGCATAACAGATAAATTAGCATTTTGCTGAACTTTTTCCTTTTCCCAGTTTATTTAATCAAACACCTGGAGGTCACATGGAAACTGGAGGATCATTGGCACACACAATAAGAAAGCCTACTCTTACACCTAAGGCTATTATACACCAGAAGTTTGGCAGCAAAGCTTCTTATAAGGTAGAGGAAGTAGAGGAGCCTACTCAAAATGGATGCCCAGGATTGGCAATCCTTCAGAAGGGTCCCTGCCTTTATCGCTGCAGCTTGGAGCTTCCAGATTTTTCTGTTGTGTCTGGGTCCTTTAAGAAGAAGAAAGATGCTGAGCAGTCTGCTGCTCAGATGGCATTGGAAAAGGTTGGCATCCCCTTGCTCACCATACTGATTTTCCTATGATTTTAGTTTGATTGATGTGCTAATAGCTACAGTCATTGCCTCATTGTGAGTTTCAGTAATAGGTTGTGGGGTATATAGTGGAACTCAAGAAAATATACATGGATGCTCTTTACATAAGTTGAATTGGTTTTCTATAATTTGTTGCCAGGATTTCCTGTGTTAAAATTTGCTTCATTTTAGCAAGGTTGGTGGCTTGGAAGCTATGAGTTTAAAGTAGGTGTTTCATGATGAAGAATTTGGTGATGTATGTCGAATCAAAAAAAGATACAATGATTGTCAGGAATTTGATCTCTGCATAGAATTTTTTCAAAACAGTCTTTCAGAAGAGTCAGCTCGTGAAGCTTGCTGCTGTTGCAGCTTCACCACTAACATGCTGATCATTACTGCTATGGTACCATCACCTTCACCATCACCCACATTGTCATCAGAACTCCGCTGCCAATTTATAAATTGTTGTTACACCCCCCCCCCCCCCCTTCCTTTTCACTATAATTTGACTGATTTAAACAATGAACTTTACTAATGACTGGATACTAACTATCAGGGTTTTGAATCTCATAGGGTCACTTTTCTGATATTTACAATTTCTTCCAGATGTACTTTGAAAGAAATGCAATTGATGCACCTTTTATGTTAGACATACAACTTCTAGTTATTTTCTATCTGAACTTTGTGTTGCACAGATATCAAACTAGGGGTACTGTCATTGTCAATTTGTAACCCTGTAATTGACTGTTAAGAATGCCATATCTTGTTGTTTTTTTCTGTATATGTACAATCAGGTCATGTTTCCATGTTTGTGTCTATTAAACCTGGATGCTCACCTGCCCAACCTTGCCTTTGAACTCTTTGTCTGTTAGAGGTTTCTATCTTATTGCCATCCTATTAAACTTTGGCTTATTGTCTGCTTTCTTTGAACCAGTGATGATAATCAGCAGCAATTTCTTCATCCTCATCTTATTTCCCTGTCTTTTTCCAAAAAAAAAAAAAAAAGGTATTTCAAAAATTATGCCTGGTAATACAAATTTTTGTTGTTACTCAACTTTGAATTTGCATTTTGGAAAGTTGGAGCCAAATTGTATGTAAGGAACATTCTGACATGTTTGAATATCTCAATTTCTTACTATCCTGGTATCAACTCCTATAGCTAATAATTAGAGCTATTCATCATGCATATTAGGATAGATCTTGTTCCTAGAAAATCAGTTTGTTACTTTGCTTGATTTGATTACAGCTCTTCCTGAGAACCTTTTTTGGGTTTAACTTTTGAGTTTTTTTTTTTTGTTTTCTAGTTATAGAATTATTATAAAGTTTTCCTTTTTTCCAGGGATTGTCAGTGATTTGTCCAAATAAAGCTGTCACTTCTTTCGTCTTCTTAGTTTTATATGTTTCTAATTTAAAATTGCAGCTTGGCATCCGTCCCTCTGTAGATAATCTCACAGCAGAGGAAGCGTGGACAGACTTGATTGCCCGTGTCAAATATATATTCTCAAATGAGGTTGGTGGCCCCTACACAATATGTCTGTCTGGTATGTGTTGACAATGGCATGAATTTGTGCATTTACATCTGCAGAGTATCTGTGTCTATTCATGTGCATGCTACTTTGATTTTTTATTAAATTATAATCAAGCAATAACCATGACATATGTAAACATGTTATTGTCTGTGGACTGTAATTCTTGTTGCACAATAAATTGATAATCATCTGTTAACATTGAAGTATACAATTTCCTTGAGGAATAGAATGAAGAGAGGATTCTAGATAACAGTACAAGACATTTATCTTAACCCTTGGTCATGGGGAACGTTGGCAAGCTAACTTTTTCCAACCTGTGTCCAACTTTTACATGAGCAAGTTTGAAAAGGTTATTTTCTATGATTGCATTGGCTTCCTGACTCATCTTTACCAAGGGAGTTCAGTGGAGTAGTGTTTCCCTCCACCTGGCCTTTTCCACTAGTACCTCCTACAAGCACAAAATATTTAGTTGTGATGGCTATCTCTTCTTGACTCTGCTTTATCCTTCTATCATTTGTCAAGTTCTTTCATCTCTTTATAATTCATTTATGTTCTTTTTTTTTATCTATTATATATAATGAGGGCACACTGCTTTTGCTTTAGAATAAATCGTTCACATTCTGATCTTTTCTTCCTTTATCTTTGTCATCATTGAATAAGTTCCTTTCAGGTCTTCATCCTCTGAGCAGTCACTTCAAAGCAGCTTTATGTAGAGTTGGTGATCATGATGGTTCAATTCCTGCTTCTGTTATTGCTATATGTGATGGAAAACTTAACAATCTCTGCAAAATAATTAACCCTAAAGTGGAGTCTCATCCCTTCTTGGTCGTATCATATATCATGAGGGCTGCTACAGGATTACCAGAGTTGGTTGTTAATCCTGAGAGACAGCTTTCAATTCGGAAGAAAAAC